GACCTGCGACCTGCAGCTCTGCCACGCCGAGCGCGTCACCTCCTCCAGGTTGTGCCAGGTGTTGGCCACGGGCCCTGGTGCCAGCAGGGGTGGCTCAAACCCTGCCAGCCCTCGGGACCCTGCTGGGGGGAGCGGGGACGTGGAGGGACCCTACCGTTGTAGATGGCGACGAGGACAAAGGAGAGGACATAGACCCGACCCTCCTTGCCCAGGAATTTGGGGGCCACAAGCAGACTGGCGCAGCGAAAGTGGGGAGACGTGGCCCAGCCCAAGGTAGTCACCCCTGTGGGGAGCGGAGAGCTGTCCCCATGGTCCCGCAGAGACCCCCCCCGGGGCTCCCAATGGCCCCCATCACCCCAGTCCAGTCCCGGCCCCATCCTCACCCGCCAGCCCGCAGGAGAGCTTCACCTTGCGCATCTCTGTGATGTTCATGGGGACGATGAGGAGCTGGCAGAGCCCTGAAACACCCGCAAATGTGCCCTGAGCCCCTAGTGCCACCAGCCCCCCGCCATGCCCGGCACCGGGGCACACTCACCGAGGCCAAGGAGGGTCCCGACGCCGCCACCCAGGAAGAACTCGCTGCGGCGGTACTGGTCCGGCCGGCCCCAGAGGAACCGGCTGCACGGGGCAGGCAGCAGCGAGACCACCACTCGCTTCAGGGCTGGGTGGGGAGGAGGCGTCAGCCCTGCCCTCTCCCACTGCCCACGGGCAACCCCAGCCGGGAGCGGGGTGGGAGGGGATCTCACTCGTGTTGGGTGGTTTCTGCCTCCTACATGCCTCTGTCCCAGCCGAGCGCTCTTGCCCAGGGGCCACCACCGGCTCCATGGCTCTGTGCTTCCTCCTGGCGACAGCGGGATGCTCCCCTGGAACTGGTGCATTGTGAGCCGCCCATTCCGCCCGCTGTATCCCCACGCCTGGAGCCGGAGAGAGCACCAGGAGCCTGGGAGAGCCCAGCCCAGCATGGGGCTGGTCTCGTGGCTGGGCAGAGCCCTGCAGGGGCTGAGGGGCCGGAGGAAGGGCCCGGCACCGTGGTCCAGGGGCAGGCGGCCTCAGCAGATGCGCTGGCCAGAGGAGGCAAGCGAGGTGTGGGAATTGGCCCGCAGTGCTGGCGGCTTTGCGCTGGGCATGGCCCTGGCCAGCCTGTACGGGGCTCTGGTGCTGCTGGCGCAGGGCCACAACGTCTGGTACTGCCTGGTCACCACTACCAGCCTGGGCGCAGGGCTGGGGTTGGGCATGGCCTTCTCCGTCAAGGTGCGGGTCACCGTGCTGCTATCGCTGCCCCACATCTTCACCAGTAAGCAGCTGTCGGTCCCGCTGCCAGGAGCCGTGGGGGTGCTGGGGTGGGGGGTGCTGGGTCCCAGCTGAGCCCCAGGACCCCCCTGTCCCCGCAGGGGAGGGGAAGATGCTGATGCTGCTGCTGGCGCTGAGCATGGCCGTGCAGGGCCCCTGCACCAACATCCTGCACAACTTCTCCCAGGCCGCCGAGTCGCTGTCGTGCGGGGCCGAGCTCGCCCTCAACCAGACGGCTGAGCGGCTGCAACGCACCCAGGAGCCGCTGCTGAGTGAGAGGAGGGGCCAGGGGGATGCGGTGGGATAGGAGGGCCCCTTCCTGGGGGAGCCCCAGCAGCGCTGGCCGGCCCAGGGCTGCCCTCGCCCCTCGGGGTATGGTCAGGTGTCTCCCCTCTCCGCAGATGTGCTGGCCAAAATCAAGGACATTGCCCAGAAAGCCAAGGTGGTAGGTGACCGCGTCCGCAAGTTCTTCCGCTCCATCATGGACTCCGTCAGCCACGTCGGTGAGCGGGGGGCCACGAGGG